TTCTTCAAATTATTGCCTGCACAAAGAAAGGATTAGACTTGGAGAGAAAGCCGAGTAAAAGAAGATTAAATAAATGCAAGGAGCTATACGGCAACCTGGTTCGCCTCTCCGTCTGGGTATAGGGTCTAGGCGATCTTCGCCTTCGCCGAATTCCTAGTTGCCTTGGACCTGGACCATCACATTATCAACTCGTTTGCCAGAGCTGGCAAGCATGATTATCGAGTGATGGTCAGTGTCCTTGGCCCTGAGAAAATAACGCCCATGCCGACCGGAGGATTTGGCTAAAGCATAGCAGTGCCGAATGGCAGGAATCCCAAGATCGATCTTGAGGTGCCAGTTCAACTCTACGATCCCCATATCGCAAAAAATTTATGTTGGGTTGGGAAGGAATCAGACCTCAATGGCGGAGGACGATCCTAAGAAATGGGTGTAGAGGAAAACGGACTCCGCCCTCCACAATGGATAAGAGAGGAAAGACAATTGTATTTTCATCATCCCTCTCCATATCAAGAGTGCTGTCCGTCACGAGAGACAAATGGACATCATCGGGGATAGATAAATGGCGTCGGAACCCAAAAATACGATCCTTAGAAAGGAGGTCTTTCAAATGCTTAGCCATTCTAGCAAGGACTAAGGGGTATGCTAAATCGAAAATAAACACGGAAAATAGGATTATAAAAAGAAAAGAAGAAAACTTACAAGAGGCAAAGGAGACAAGGAGAGACGGAAGGAAGTTGCAGAAGATGCAAGACAGAGGAAGAATATCGGCTGGCAGTCCAGGAGGCTTAAGTATTCGAAAAGCATGCATTTGAAGAGACAGGAGTTTCAAATCGTAATAAATGCAAAAAATGCACGAAGGAGGCGGGAACGTATAATGATGACCGAAAGTTGTATGTGTTCTGACATTCACATTGGGATGAGCGAAGCCGCCTAACTTATGTTTTTTTTTATTTTTCAAATTCGAAACCAAACACGCCAATTAACTGCTGTTAATGGGGAGTTTGGGGGGGGGCAATTGTGGGAGCCGAATAATAGCGGAATCAGATTAGCCGAGTATACACTTGGAGGCCTAAGAGATAGACATTATTCGGCCCTATCCTGCATGATCCGGAGGCCGAATATAATAAATAGGCCGAATAGTTATTAGATTATGGAGCCGAATAAATAAGAGGATAATGGGTGAAAAGTGGGTCAGGCCCGAGGCCCAGGAAGCGAGTATAAATAGAGGAACAACAGTCAAAGAAAGGTATGTGAGAGAAAGCAAGCTTAACTTAAAATACAAGCAACCAAGAGAGTATATACTGACTTATCCGTCGGAGTGTTAATTTTGGCACCCCCGACTGGAGTGTTTATTCCTTTTCAGGTGACTAGCTGTGGATCTCGAGCTTCCTGTTGGATCCAAAGAGTATTTCCAAACGACTCTCCCACAGTATGCATATTATAGCATACTTCAATGACATATATGAAATAACTCCAAATTGTATTCTCTTGAATTATAAATCCAAACCTAGGCATGTTTATAATATATACAGCATGAGGTAGAAATCCTACTACAAAGCTTCTAAGAACTAGGAATTGGAGAGGCTAGGTTGATGATGGGCTCCAAGATCACCCAAGCTCCAAGCAAGTGGATTCAATGATGAACCAAAGCCTCCAAGTGCTAAAGGTTTCTAACTCACTCTAGGAAGGTCTTAGGTCAATGGCAATGACCTGAACCAACCTTTAAAGCTTCAAGAATGGAGCTGTTGAATTAAAAAATCTAAGGGAGGGAGCGCTATGGTAGGTTCGGCTGAGGAGAGAGGAAGAACAGAGTTTTGTGCAACAAAAATGAAGACCACCAAGTCTTAAAAAAACTCTAGTCCAAATGGTCTATCCTAGATCTTGTCCAATGGTCCAAATCAAACATGACAAGGCCAAAACAATCACAACCATCCATTAAAGTCATATTTTACACATATAATCTATTTGTATAATCACAATAAAGTACGGAATTTAGCTTAAGGAATTGCCTCATTAATGCCAAGATCGTAAAGCTTAAGTAATGTAAGACTTGTGTAACAAATGTAGGCAGCCAAAAAGTAGAATGGGTGGGCTCACCAAGCTTTGACCGGTCCAATTGTTATTGAAAGTTTGTTGAACTTAATGCTAAAAATAGCTTTCAGCTTTTTCTTCTTAATTTTGTCCTTGATGATATGCTTCAGAGTTCATTAATTGAATTAATTATTTTTAACCGAAATGAGTCTATAACGAACTTTCTGATAATAGTAAGCAAAGATTGACTCATGAAAGACAGAATTTGAAAATTAAATTGCTTTTGTTGTTGCTACCTATCCCTTCCTCTGCCCCTGCTCCATTTCCAGCCCATTAATTCCCCTGGCTTGGTACCTCTTAGGTTTGAATTCAATTTTTATTGCTCATAGTTACTTGTTTGTTACTTAACATTGGTGGAATTCAGTTTTATGAAGTGGTTTGTTTAGATTCATATCTCTGCAAATTTGGTTGCTGCTTAATACCTTAGTTCTACCCATTTATTTTGAAGGTATATTTGCTGAATTTTTGGTTGCCTGACTCTTATTTCATAAAGTTCTCCAATTATGTGATCATAACTTACATTTTGAAAACCTAGAGCTGCATCACTACCCATATGATATTTAGTGTTATAGTTGAATTTTGACTCGGAATGTTCGTGACCACAGAATCAAAAAGTACACAGATGAAGACTGAATTTTCTGTGACTAAAAGCTCACTAGTTAATCATTTTGTTCAATTAGTTTAAAAGATAACATGTATTAGAATGCTGAGAATTTTTTCTTGAGACTTGAAAGCTTGATGCAGAGCTCTTTCTAAAATAGTTTGCCCTGAATTTCTAATTGTACTTTTTACCTCTATTACAAAATCTTACAATTCGCGATTCGATTAACAATTTTACAAAATTGATACGAATTTATGGGTGAATCTCTAGTAAATCACACGATTCATAATTGATTCACGATTTGATTCACTTTTTACGATTCATGCAATTCTTGAAATTATCATATCTGACATATGTCGATTATTTTTTTTCTCTCTATTTTTTAGTTAAAATGACATAATACAACTTTTAATAGTGTTTAGTACGAAAATAACCAATATACTTACATATATATATATGATTTGTTTTTATTTTGGATATCAAGAAGTTTTTAATAGAATCTAATTAGATTCAGTTAGACCCAACATTTTTTTTACATTTTTTTTCTCAATTGTTTTTTCTTAACAAAATCATAATGTATATTCTAAAGATGTTTAATTTAAGGTTGAAATAACTTGCAATTTGAATTATTTATTGCTATTTTATTAAAATAAATATACTTCAATATTACATGGGTAAAGTCAGTTAAACTAAACCTAATGGCTTCGCAAGTTCTTTATTATTGGGTCATTTATTTGTAAAGGTATGTATGCTTATGAAATATATCAACATCGTTGTTGAAGTTATTGTTGCTTGAAAATTAAGAGTTTGTCTTTGTTTACTTTCTTGATCAAGAATGGTTAATAAGCAATATCTAGGAAAGGCCAAAGGTAAGATGGTGATCTTACATGGGAATCTGTGTTAACTTTTTACCTATTATACCATGTGATCATCATTCAAAATAACACTTCCATTGATTTAAGCCTGTATATTTATAAGATATATTTAGCATCCAAGTGTGTAGATACATTTTTCTAAGTAATTTAGAAAAAGTGACCGAATCTTTACAATTCACGGTTCGAATCGCGATTCGGTACAATGCCATTTCGATTCACTATTTGACAACTATGCTTTTTACATTTTTGTTTTGCCATTTTTTTTGGTTTGTTTGGAGGGGGCCACTTAACTGTTATGTTCTCTTTAAGTTCATTCACTTGTAGAATATATCAAATTCTTGAATTCTTCAAAAATTATTATATGTGAAAGTGTTTGCCACGTCTCTTTTTTTCCCTTTTTTGTTTCTCTGGTCACTGAAACTGTTTGTATCTTAAAAATGTTTGCTTTTACAATCCTTTCTTGTGTACCTGATTATCAGGGGCTGTATGACCACTAGCCAGTGTGAAAAGTATGTCAATTTTTGGTTTGGTCAAGGACCTTTCCTTGATTGAATCTTGATTAGTTGCATTAGATGGTCAATAGTGGTCTTCAAACAAATAACATAATTCTTTCAGATCTGTTTGACTGTTATCATTTAGAAAAAGCGACCGACTCTTTACAATTCACGATTCGAATCGCGATTCGGTACAATGCCATTTCGATTCACTATTTGACAACTATGCTTTTTACAATTTTGTTTTGCCATTTTTTTTGGTTTGTTTGGAGGGGGCCACTTAACTGTTATGTTCTCTTTAAGTTCATTCACTTGTAGAATATATCGGCCTTGCTTGGTTTGTGTTTCCCAAAAATTTTTGGGAAAAATTCTCTACAAATAAGTTTTCAAAAGTAATCAAACCAAACAAATTTTCCCAAAAAAATTTCCCAAAACTTGTTTGGTTTACAAGTTTTCCAAACAAATCTCTCTCATACACATCAAATCAATCACTTTTTCCAAAACTCTCTCTCAAAATAATTTTCCAAAACATCTTTTGAAAAAAACCAAACCAAACAACTTTTCGTACTTTTTATCTCTAAAACTCATCTCGCAAACTCAAACCAAACATACCCATCAAAATTCTTGAATTCTTCAAAAATTATTATATGTGAAAGTGTTTGCCACTTCTCTTTTTTTCCCTTTTTTGTTTCTCTGGTCACTGAAACTGTTTGTATCTTAAAAATGTTTGCTTTTACAATCCTTTCTTGTGTACCTGATTATCAGGGGCTGTATGACCACTAGCCAGTGTGAAAAGTATGTCAATTTTTGGTTTGGTCAAGGACCTTTCCTTGATTGAATCTTGATTAGTTGCATTAGATGGTCAATAGTGGTCTTCAAACAAATAACATAATTCTTTCAGATCTGTTTGACTGTTATCATGGTTTTGGTTGCCTCCAGTGCTCGTTGGATTGGGAATCATGGTTTCTCTATTGGGATTGATGATGTCCAACCTGGAGGACGTTTGAATGAAAATAAAAGTGCTAGAATTCTGGAAGGGTATGGGAAATGTGATGAACTTATACAGTCGTATAATAAAGGAATGCTTAAACTTCAACCTGGTTGTGATGCTGCTCAAACACTAGAAGCTCAGATAACCGGTGTTTTAAATAATATTCGAGAAACAACTGCAAAAGTAAGGATCTATTTATTTGTTTTATTGCATTTTGCTATGTGGATCTATGTTTGATAACAACCAACATGATCTGCCTTTCCAATTAGGTTTGTATGGATGAACTACATTGGAGGAACAGCCCTTTGATTATGTCACAGTGTGGTTCCAAAGGATCTCCTATCAATATAAGCCAGATGATTGCATGTGTTGGGCAGCAATCAGTGGGGGGTCGTCGTGCTCCAAATGGGTTCATAGATCGAAGCCTTCCTCATTTCCCCAGAAAATCAAAGGCCCCTGATGTATGTTCCATTCTACCTTCGTACTTACGTTTTGGTGAATTTTCAATTCCATGCAAAATTCACTCAGTATTCTGCTTTTTTTTTTTTTGTTTTTTTTTTCCCTTCTCTTTAAAAACTTTTTAGAAACCTCTCGATGTTGTACACATGATGATTATGGAACATCTGGAAGAAAATTGATAATGAACGAGATTTTGATCCCTACCTTTCTGATCCTGACAGTAGCTTCTAATTTAAGTTAGTTTTGTAAGGATTTGCGATATCTTTTTTGAAATGGCGTGGTATGACTAATGATCTGTCTTCACTCTAATGTCACTGAGTTTTGGTCTTGAGTTTTTGTTCCCCATTATGCTTCTTAATTTGCACTTGATATCATGTTTTTGGGCACCCCATTTATTTCAATTTGTATGTTAGTGGCTCTTTCCATATGCTAGAGTAGATTACAAGTAAGGGTGGGTGTGGGATCTCGATATACATTGTTGTTGACCATTTCCTAATAGCTTAAAGTTTGTCAATGGTTATATCATTATTTTTTGGGGGAAAATAGTTTTACAATGACGATGCATAGATCGGATTCGAAGTTGATCATATACATGAGAAAAAATATGACAAAATAAGAAAGAAGAAAATACAATGTAGAGTGTAAAAATATACACTGGGTGATTAATTCCCCATTTGATTTAGTAGAAAATGAGTCATATGTCAGGTGTCAATAATTTTTCTATTAGGTTGTCCATATCAGTTGTAGTCTAGGAAGCTTGGACACGGGCACGTGACACTACACGGACACACCGACACGCTAATTTTCAAAAAATGCAGAACATGACACGTGGGTGACATGTATGAAATATATAATTTTATATATTTATTGTATGTTATATGCATAAATATATCATTTAAAGATAATAAATAATGTAATATGATACTAATTCCTATAAATTTATATGGAATTTGTTTTATTATTGTATCTTAAGTTATTTTGTTCAAACTTATAATTAGTTTTACTTGTGTCTAACTGTTTGTTTAAGCGATAGATATGTGTGTCCTCCAAGTGTTCAGATAGTGTCCGGGTCTTTAAAAAAAAAAATTAAAAAAATAGGATACGTTTTGAAGAGTGTCGGATACGTGTTGGGGAAGTGTCCAAAGAGTATCGGTGTCTAACATGGACACGACATGGATACCTCACCTTCTTAGAAGTGTCCGTGCTTCTTAGGTTATAGTTTTTATTGGACTTAGTCTATAAATAGGTGATGTAACCTCAAATGTACTTAGTTTTAATTGAAGAATATAGATATTGATAGAGCAAAGTGCTCTGGTTTCTCTGTCTAACTGACCCTAGCGGTTGCCCCTAGGTTGGGTATTTGCTCTCTCTCTCTCTCTCATCTTTGATTGTCTTACCATTTTTTAGTCTATGCAATATTTAGAGCTACATACCAGCTTAAATGCTATGTTTTTCTCCTCGTGAATAAAGTGGAATGGTCCCAAGGACGTTAGATTGCTCTGCCCTAATATATTTCAATTTTCCTTCTATGATTTTGTTCCCTGAACTATGATGCTCTACCTCTGTTAGATTGACTGAAGTGCACATAAATCTGCATTACCTTAGGAAAAGGCACAGAAAATTTGAAGGGATCTTTCCTTACTATATTTTTGTATTCTTTCTATCCAATAGCTTGCTTTGACAGAATACCTTTTGAACTTCAAATGGACCAGAGAACTGCATTGTCAACTCTAGAGCTTCAAATTACCCAAAGAAATGGGATTTTTTGAACTTTAAATTGACCAGAGAAGTTGCAATTGTCAACTTTAGAGCTTCAAATTAGCCAAAGAATCAGGATTTTGAAATATCCATGTGGGATTTTATTTTTTGTTGTCTGGATTTAATTGGGTTAGGTTGGGACTTACAGTGATCTGACCCAAATTGGACAATATTTGAGTTGTTATTGTTATTGTTGCTGTTTCTTTGGTAGGTTATTATTGCTATTGTTTATTGTCATCGTCGTCGTTGTTTTTATGAATATGGGTGAATGACATGTTCAGTCAAGTACAGTGACCTTCCTCTAATTAATTGTTATTGAAGTGGCTCTTGTCTTTGCTCACAAGCCAGCCTCCCCCATTGGTCCATCCTATGAATCAAAGGTAGAGAAGTATCTCTATATCTGGTGATCCAAGAGGTATCCTAAAAATATTTCTGTTTCTAGTGTATTGTCTGTATACTCCATCAGAACATTATCTGGATGCTGAATATATTATTCAGTCAATTGCAAGTTGGATTAAATTAGTTATAAAGGTGCATATGTTTCCAGTTCAATAAAAATGCCTTTAGTGTATGGACTTTCATGAATTTACGAAGTACTTTTTTTTTGGTAATTTGTGATGCAGGCTAAAGGATTTGTTGCTAACTCTTTTTACAGTGGTTTAACGGCTACTGAATTTTTCTTCCATACGATGGGAGGGCGAGAAGGTCTTGTGGATACAGCGGTATGGATGACTGTTTTCACTTTGTTTAATTGTCTATTTCAATTGGAAGTGTGTGATCCAGCTGTGAGGATACACTTAATTTCCAATTTTTTTTCACCCAGTTATTTTATTGTATGCTCATCAGAAGATTTCGTTTTTGGGTAGTTTCCAAGGAATCTCAACTACCCAAATTGGTGCAAATGATGTTAGTGCAGGAGCCTTTTCTCCCCCTTACAAATTGGTGCAATGTCTTCATCAGACCATTAGTAGAACGTTAGAAAATTAACTCAGATTTTTAATTTAATTGATTTACAATTAATTTCCCTGTTCCCATTTAATTTGAATTCTCCCTTCTTTTTTGGAATTAAGTAAATTACTTTATTAAATGCATTAAAATGGTGCTCAACCTTTATGCACTTTAGAGTGTCCAAAAGCAAGTTAGTGTAGCCATCTACAAAAGATAACTCTCATATTAAGGAAGAGTGTTAAAATTCAATGTATAAAATTGATTGTATTATTGATTGATGTATGTTATATTTTACAAATGGTGAGGGGCTCCTTATATAGGAGATGTAGTGGAGTAGGTGGTAGTAGGTGGTAGTGGTAGGTGTGTAGTAGGTGGTAGTAGGTGGTGGTAGGTGTAGTAGGTGGAGTAGGTGATGGTAGGTTTTAACAAAGAGTCAATGATGCAAGAGGAACAAATCTGGAATATCTCATGGAGCATCTTTTGTGCTTTATTTCATCACGTTTACGGTCAATTTGAGCCTTTATTTCTATGTATTTTATAAACAGAATGATGTTAGACAATTTTTGACATTTTATTAGCTTTAAACTTTTAATTTCCAAGGGTATTTTGGTAATTCTGTATATTGCTGGACATGGACTGAGGAGCTTCTATTTCCACACGTCAAGTTCGAATTTTTGGTTCAGAAGTTGATTACCAAATAAAATTATTTGGTTAAAATCAATTTCCGAACCAATGAGTTTTGTTCGGAAATCTACTTTCGAACCAAAGATACAGCCGGACCAAATAATTTTGTTCGGAATCTGATTTTCGGGCCAAAAAGTTTTGTTCGGAAGTTGATTTCCAAGCCAAAAAGGTGTGCACTAAAAGGAAATCATGTTTGGAAGAAGCGCCCCATGGGCTGTGAGTTTTTCTTATGGGACAAATTTTGTTATTGGGTCCTATATGGACTTTGTCAAAGTTTTTAATTTCCTAATTTTGGAGTCATAGTTGTAGCTTCATTAGGAGAAACCAGCAACCTATAAATATCTATGTAATTCTTCTATTCTATGAGTTCAATTCTAAAGAATTTGTATGAAGTTTGTGTAGCTTTGTGCAACATTACCTTAGTGGGTTAAGCCTAAGGAGCTCTTGGTGGGATTTTTAGAGCATTCTCTTCTTTTCTTCTTTGTTCACTATTTATTTAGCTAATAAGCAAACTTTTTTAAGAAAGTAGTGTGTTTGTGTTCAACATTTATCTGGCACTTTCAAGCACTTGTCTGATCCCTCCTGATTGTCGGACACACACCCCAATGTGTCTTATTATTTTTTAAATTTATTTTAGGCTTGGACACTTTCGGACACTTGAGAGACACACGTCTATCACTTAAACACACAAAACACATAACAAGTTTGAACAAAATAAAATTTATTGATAAACGAGGAACAATGTGAATTTGTACTTATTAATTCGTACTCCTTTAAACAGTTGCAATTCATGTTATACTGTAAAGACATGAGCCATATATTGTGTGCTTGACCCCAATGTGTTGTGGTTTGTGCTTTTTAAAATTGTTGAGTCACTTGTTGTGTTTTGCATTTTTTTAAATTATTCTGCGCTTGACCCCCATGTGTTGTGTCATGTGTTGTGTTCTGTGTCCGTGTCCATGCTTCTTAGTTGTTCTGAATCCTGGAACAACCTGCTTTTCTGCTGCAAAAGATCCAAGTACTTTCCTTAAATCTATTCTTTACTTCCCACCATGGTTATCAATGACGGGCTTTCATTCAAATTTGATGCCTTCCCAAATATATATATATATGGAATTAAAAGTGCCAAAGCAAGATTTTGGAGCTTTGAAGGGTAAATTTAGCGCCATGGAAGAAAATTTTGCAGTGAGTTTCTTGCTTTTAGTCTCTGGAGACTAATATGTTACATGGACTCTTCTATTTCTCCCGAAGTACTCATGTCCATCAGATATGACAAGGATAAGGGTGTGGAATATGGTGTTTGACATCTGTACCCAATTTTGACACTTAGATCCTCCAACTTTTTACAATGTTTGAAGAATAAGAAACTCACATTTGCTACAAAAGGAACATTAATAACCTCTAACATAGATGTGAGATAAAATTCTACGTTTTTTTCTAAATTGTATTCAATTTCAAGAATATTTATACATAATTTACAACATCTTATCTAAAAATATTATATCATATGTAATATATTTGTGTGTCCACAATGAGTCCCCGTACCATATCCTATTTTGGATACATATCCGAATATCTTGTGTTAGGTTTTTATTCTTGGCAATCTCATTTGACAAAACTCCTTTCAGTTGTAATTGTATTCGATCTTTTATTTCTATGAGACTATGAGTCTTGGATGCGAATCCAACCCGAATTGTGCCTTGTAGAGATGTTTCAGAAGTTTATTCTTTCATGTTTGCCATTTCACTGACTATGTCGGGGATCGAGCTGCCTAGTTAGTTCGCGGGAGTCCAGTGGGCAGCGCCCTATAGCGGGTCTGGGGCAGCGCCCAAGCAGGGTCAAGGGGCAGTGCCCCCTGCTCCCGAAGCAAAATGCAAAAATGCATTCAAAGTTGCTTGTCTGCTCGAGCAGTCGTTTGTGCGTTCGAGCGGAGAACGTTTGGTTCCAAAAGTTTGACCTGTCTGCGAAAGTACTGGAAGTTGGGATTTTATGCTCGAGCAAACTTTCCTCCGTGCGAGCGGCCATTCTTGCGCCGCAGAGGAGATCGCGGATCAGTTTTCTATAACTATGTGGTTTCATCCGTTTTTAGGGTTACGACATCCATATCTTCGTCTTGGATATTAGAGTTTATATCTGGAGCCTCTTTGCTAGTTTCTTTGATGTTTATTTGAGTTTAACTCATGGTTTGAAAAGTATACATCAAAGGATTGTTTGTTTCGTTCAATACAAAAGAAAGAGTTGTTCTTCGGTATGTTTCGGGGAATTTGTGCTTGAAGCTTTGGTGGATTCTAGAGTGGCTCATCGTCGTGGATTCGACATCGGCGTTGTGGATTCAACGTTGGACAAGACAATTCCGAGGTGAAGATGGGGTTGGAAGAGGCACATAGTGGTCGGTTCAATTCGGGCGTGGATTTGTTAGGTAATTGAGAGTACACTTGTATAATTCCTTTATATCTTCTTAGTGGATTGTTTTGTGGTTGTTGCCCGTGATTTTTTTATCACAATTGGAGGCGCTCCAATTGTGGTTTTTCCACGTAAAATCTTTGTGTCGATTTGTCTTTAATTTTTTGATTGGGATTGGTATTAACTATTTAAAATTGATACATAATCACAAATCAATATATAGGGGATTTCTAGATTTTTCATTTTGGAATTTAAGTTTATGAAGGTATGACGCTTGGACGTGCAACCGTACCCGATACTCGTACCCGACTCCATCTACTACACCTAAAATCTTTATTTGATGCTTTCCTTCATCACCATCAACTACAAGAATAGGGAGATTCCACCTTGATAGATCAAAATGACAAGTTAGCTTTTGTTACCTATTCAGCCTACTTTTCATCCTCCTGAAGTTAATGATGGGAGGCAGCATATTGTTCTTAAGGAAACAAAGCACTTGCGGAAGGCATAATAGAGCATGATGGCCATAATGATAGACCTAACAGCATCTAGATTGATTTGCAGCTGAAGAAAGCATAAAGGAATGCTACAAGCAATATTCTAAAGTTGAGGAAGTCAAAGAAAACGACAAAAACATAGGCCGATAGTGAAAAGAATGAGGATGCCCTTGACTTCCTAGACATTCCAACCATTTAATTTGTTATTCCAAACTAGTTCAAAATCAATGGATTGTTGGAAAAGTCAGGCCCATTTTTCTTTTCGTTGCTTCAACTCGAGGATGAGTTTTTCTTTTTTATTGTGGGGGGGAATGATGAGCATGGAAAGAAAAGGGGTAAATTTAAAATTTCATATGAAGTACATTTTGAACATTGCGTAATTATGTTTAGGGTCAATTTGAGCCTTATTTCTTGTATTGTTGCTAGATAGGTTTTTGAACTTTTTATTTGGTTTTAGGTATCATTGGTGTTTTAATATTTTTACATGCTAGACTTGAGCTGCTTCTGCGGGGTCTAATTATGTTATTTTGTTATATGAAATCTTTAATTGGTTTAACTTATTCTTGTCAAAATTTCTTAATTTTCTAATTTTGGAGTTATTGTTCTACACTCCTAGTATAATTAATAGAACAAAATAACCTAGAAATATTATGTAGTTCTTTGATTCTACAGAGTTGAGTTTTAGAGAATGTGTGAGGCGTTTATGGCTGTGTAGTACTTCGTGCAATCTTGCCTTTGGAGGTTATTCATAAAGAATTCTAATTTGGATTCCTAGAGAGTTTTCTTGTTCCCCTCTTCTTGTTTCTTCTTTGTTCAAAAAACAGTATTCTCGGGTAACTATTCAGAGCCCTGGAAAAGTCCCCTTTTCAACTCAAACTGTAATAATCAAGCCTAAAACAATCCCAGTCCTTTCCTCTACCCTTTGGCCATTAATCCACACCATAATGCCATAAAGTAGTTGATATCTAGTGAATTTCTGCAGCTCCTACCAGAAATACTGTGACCTATCCTAACTTCAAAAAATCAACCAAATCTAGTTTTCCCTCTTCTTCAATCTTTTTCAATCCTAACCCTAGAATCTGTTACTAATCTGCAGCTTTTTGTTTTACCTATAAAATGTAAGAATATTTTCTACTAGTAGTGGAATGTGTTTGCTTTTAATTTAATGTTCAATTCTTCAACCTTTTCAATAGCATAAAAGTAAATTTTCTCAAAGCATATGGTTATTGGATTTTTTTAATTACTGCAGGTTAAAACAGCTGATACAGGGTATATGTCTCGTAGGCTGATTAAAGCTTTGGAGGACCTATCCATTCAATATGATAACACAGTACGAAATGCTAGCGGATGTATAGTTCAATTCGTTTATGGTGATGATGGTATGGATCCGTCACAAATGGAAGGGAAAGGTGGAGTTCCCTTGAATTTTGAGCGATTACTTTTGAAAGTCAAGGTATGAGCCTTTCTTTGTGTCTTTGTACTAGTTTTTTTGTGGAGATTGAACATGAAAATGTGTTGATTTGCATCCTTTTTACAGGCTACATGTCCTCCTGGAGAACAAAAAAGCTCCTCTTCGTCAGAAATTCTCAAATTGAGTAATGAAAGGCTCTCAAAATATGACATGACTCCTGATGGAGGTTGCTCTGATGCCTTCAAAGAGTCATTGTCTGAATTTATTCAAGAATGCAGTAGAAGATTAAAAAGGACAAGAAAAGCACTCAAATTGGATGATGAGCAAGTTGAGGGAGAAAATTGCAATATTCTTGAAAATGTTGCTCAAAATATATCTGGTGTTACTTCCAGGCAGCTACAGGTATTTGATATGTTAACCCTATCTGTTTTTTTTGCTAGTTTCACTTTTTCCTTGATGACTTAATAAATGCTTTCGGGTTCTGTTTCTCAAGAAATTAATTCTTCTAGAAAATTTTTTGGGTAACATTTTAGATTAACAAAAACATTTTTTCGGATTTTCTTTTGTATGGTACCGAACACAATTTTTTATTATTTTTATTATTAATTTTTTTGTAGAGAAATATTTTTATGTCTAATTTCTTTGATAAAATATATGTTTAAATTAATATCACATAGATACTAAACTGGCTGTACCATTTTTTTTAGTTGAGTAATCACATAGATCAAATGAAGAAACATGCAATTGTCCTTTTATCTTTGTGAAAAAAGAGTAAATTATAGACAAGAAGACTATGGGTTTTATGATAATTGGAAATCTATTATTTTCTTTTGTTGTTAATCATTGAACATTCATCAATACAGCCCTAATGATAATTTAGAAGGTTCAATGGTTCAATGGTTCTATTTTTTGCTTTGTTTTATTTTGTTTTTATAGTTGGATGTGGGTTTTACTAGTCATGAGAGAGTGAAAAAGTCACGTGGAAACATAACATATAAGGGCATTGAGAGAGAGATTGTTGAGATTTGGATTCTTTTTTAAACGTTTGACCTAAATATTAGCTATTCTATTCATATGGAAAACAACTTCTAAACCAAAATATGGGATGTTTTTTCCAAATTTTTTCCATTTTCTTAAAAATCTTTTAATCCCTCTAGATGTTTAGGTTTTCTTGAAAAGCAACAAAGCAAAATTTGGCATTTTCAAGGAATTTCATTTTTTTTTCTTGCATTCTTTAGTGAAACAAATATAGCAATAGTTTTTTTTTTTTTTTTTTTTAAATATTATTGACTTTTGTGGAACATTGTAATTTATTATTATTTTTGGTTGTGTTTCAAACATCAATTCTGGATCACAGTGGTGTGTGTAACTCACTTTTTTACACATTTACTTTTCTATTTACATGTAATGCATTCTTTTAAACAAATAATTGACATCAAGAATCGATCTAATTGTTAAAATGGGTTGGATTGAATGTCTCCTTTGGCATATTTTGGAGGAACTAAATTTCTGACCTGACTTGTCTTTTGATAATCTTAGATCTTGGAAACTCTATCGTAAACTCATAAAAATCTTACTTATCAAAACAAAAATAAATCACAAAAATCCTGGATAGAGTCATTCCAATTGAGTTGGAAAACTGGAGCTGACGGGTTTTTTAGGTGGGGGATCTTTTCAATATGATTAAGATCTACTTCATAATTTTGCATGATTTTCGGTTTCATTTTTCCTCCCCTATAATGGTTGAACCAAGCACTCACCAATAGATGCAAGTAAGTTGCTCTCTTTACAATATTTGTCACTCATTCATCTATCACCATTGCTGTGTCACAGCTTCTAGAACCTTCTTGTTCATGTTTGTGATTGCAGCCTTTTTCCCACTAACCAGTGAAATACACAGTTATTACAATGTTCCATTTCCAACATTTTTGTACTATAAAGCATGGCTGATCTTATAGTTGTTTGGTAAAATTTTCCTGATAATCTCATGGGTATGCTTAAATTAGACAAGAGACCTGAAACATCCCTCCACTTGGTTCATCCTACCTTAATTTTATGATGTTATCTCCCACAATATGTGCAATCGAGCTTAGTTATCAAAATTGTTCACTTGTGAGTCGTGATATTGAAATTATACTCGGTAGTTTAAAATTGTACGTCACAAGTTTAAAATTGTTCACTTCTTCTGTATAATTGAGCCTAGATATAAAAAAATATACTCACTACAAGAAAGAAAATGGTTTATTTTTGAAATGTTTATCACTTTCAGTGATGGTCCATAATGTGATCTCTAACCACTTACATCTCATCTTGTCACCTTGACAAGTTCCATTGTGTAGATCAATTGTGCCATAATCATCTAGTGTTCGTTATTTGGTTCCAAATGCAGTCTCTCAATGAAAATGTTGTCTGAATGTTCACCAATAGTTTACAAATCAGATATGAAGCTATTTAATTTGTGTGGATCTTCCTGTACACCTGGTCTGCATACTAGACATGTTAGATAATGGTTCCTAATTTTCCTTCCTTTTCTTTTCCGAGGAGGAGGATGTTTGGTGATTTCCTTGATTTCTTGACAATGCTTATAAGATTAGCTTGTAAAGATGCAGTCCCTTGCCTCAGGAAAATCGGAAGGAGACTAGACCATGGATTGAATTTAGTCCAAACCTTAATGAGACAATAATTGAATGTCACGAAATTTGCAGAAGGCTAGAAATGATGAAATTTATAAATTTGAAACAAACTGTGTATACATGTGTGAAAGACAGAGGTAATAGGAGATGGTAATTTTGAAGCATACAATGAATCTACACTAGTTTTGGTTTGGTCAAATGGATGGAAGAAGGGTACCTTTTTTTTTTTTGCAAGTAGTTTTATTTTTGGTAAGTCACTTGGATTCTTGCTCACTAAGAGTGGAATACTTTGAAATTTTAATATTGTTAAGTGGATCTTAAGTGAGGAATTTGAGGGTCTTAGTCAAAGGTGAAGAATTAAAGATTGGTGAAGTTGCTTGCTTGGATAGTGGCACGTGTGGAGATTTGTACCATCGACACCTTAGAACACGAAGACGAAGATAGATTCAAGTAAATTTTGCTGTGTAAGAAGGATGGGGAGTTGGTAAGTCAGCTACTTGTACATTGTGAGGTAGCTAGAGATTTGTGCTCTTTGGTCCTTGTTGGTTGGTGTGGATTGGGTCTTCCCAAAGGAGATGCTGTATCTTTTTTACTCGTGGAATAGAGCAAAGGTAGGGAAAAGGAGAAGGGCATGGAACTTGGTTATGTTTGCTCTAATATGGATTATTTGGAGGGAACAGAATAAGAGGACTTCCAATGGTATGGAGATGTTGTGCTTCAAGGTGCAAAGTTTGTTTCTATTTATTTTGTGTAGTTGGTTCTCAGGTGCTTGTGAACCATCCTAGGCTCAAATTTTGGAATTTGTAGTCTTTTCAAGGAAGTGTATGTGGGAAAGATTATGGCAGATCATCGCTGGAAGACTAACAAGCTAATGGAAAGAATAGAGACAACATGGAGAAAATTGTAAAATGTAGCGGCTTGTACCAACTGAAAGAGCCCTTCTTTGGGGACATTGGCCAACTATTCTCCTCCACGTTAATTGACCTAATATGCAAGAAATGCCTCAAAGAGATAAGTAACTCCAAAATCTTCCTAAATATGTTGAGTTGTGGAATTGTGGAGTGGAGGTACCTTTGAGAATGGGGAAAATTGTTATTCTTGGGTATCATCACCATATTATCTTCTTAAATTTTTTTTGTGCTTGAATATTATCATAAAGAGGATATGCACAACATCATTTTTTTAATTTTTTATTTTATTTAACTAGTAAATTTCATTAAAAAGAAAGCACCATCTACCCATACATTATGATGTGCACAACATCACTCAAAATATTTCCTAGCTTTTGCTAAATTCAATTAAGGTTTGTTTTTTATAACAAATTTTTGGGTTGCTTGATATGAAAAGTATGAGTAGTTTTTCCATTTAACTGCATTTCATACTGCATGTGAATACCTTATAGGGACAAATTCACCAAAAAGGTCGGAAGTTCAAGTCAGAGAGACTTGACTCTTCACATAAGGTTTAATTTTCTCAATGAAAGTTGGCTTTAAAATGTATATGAACTGGGAATTTCTCTTAAATTTTCTGAAAGTTGGCTTTAAAATGTATATGAACTGGGAATTTCTCTTAAATTTTCAGTTCCAAACACAATTCCTAAAGCTTCCAGCAGTACTTATGTAAAATTTAATGTATAAAGAGAAATAGAGAGAGAATAAATTGTATGTATTATTGATTGATATATTTGTTTGTATACAATGACTCTCCTATATATAGAAGAGAAAAACATATTCACCTACCACACTCAACTCTCACCTAACACACTTCTTAAATTTTCAGTTCCAAACACAATTCCTAAAGCTTCCAGCAGTACTTAATTAGTCGTAACCATTTTAGTGCCAAAATTTCATTTTTCATCAAATTGGTTTTTTGTTTGTATGTAGTTAATACTAATTTTGAGTATGATTTTGTCTAGCATTTTTTGAAAATTACCATGTCAACATGTCTGTATCCGTATCGTGCCATGTGTCTATGCCTCTTAGTCAACCACTATACCAATCTTACTTGTGCTTTCTATGTTTGTAACATTTTTTAAGGGAGTTAAATATGTTCTCAAATAATATCATTCTTCCAACTATTATTAATAATACTCTATTTACTCCCATGTTGTTTAGCCTTGGAGCCCTTTCCCTTGTTTAAAAATAGGCAAAAAATTCCCTCATGGTTTTGGACTAAATTGCAAAACTAACTCTGTTGATGGTAGATAGAAAATTACCTGAATACCCATATGTTATATTCTCTGTCTCTTCTCTAATATGTATAATTTTCTATCTTGATCACATATTAACAAATTAAATCATAAGTAGACCCCAAACATAAATTTTATATTCTAATTTTTAACTTCAAAATCAAAATTCTAATTTAATTACATTTTTAATTAAACATATACACAATACATACACATTGTGTATATGCATACTTATATATGTGTGTGTGTGTGTGTGTAAATACACTAAAGGGTGAGTTCATGTGGCAAAAAGTTCTGGAGACATCATGAGGGGTTTTGGCAAATACAAACTGATCCTCATCAAACACGGCGAGGGGTAGGTTGTAAAGGTGAAAGGGAAGGGGGTTGCGAGAGTGGCAGGGCTGGGGAGGAAGAGAGGGGCGTCGGGAGGTACTTGGTGATGAGGATAGGGTGGTGAGCGGTGGCTTGTGGAGGAAGAAGGTTAGGGTTAGGATTAAAGTTTGGGTTTCATATTGATTGGGAAAGAAGATGAAAGTGAAGGGCATTCTTGTCATTTAACATTGCATTTTGACTTTGACTTGTATTTATTTATTTTTTTAATGTCAACTCTCATTTTTGGCACGTGTGGAACACTTTCTGTCATTTTAAACGGATTTAGTAACATCAAGGGGGCAATGTGCAAAAATAGCCAAAATCACAAGTAGGCTAATTGGCAATTTTTAAATGACAAGGAGGTAAACTGCATTTTGCCCAAATATTAATTACATTAATATATATGCTTTGGAGGCACTCTCACACCCAACATCTTTTAAATTGATGCTTTTGCGCTCTTGTTCTACCCCTGCTCCTGTTTTCACTTCCGCTTTACTAGCTGAATTGGTTACTTAGGGCAGGCATCTGCCCCAATTTACCAAATTGAATGATTGACTCATTCCGTACTAGAAGCAATCAAATCCCTTTTTTCTTGTAATTGTCCACATGCAGTGATCCTTGCCATCCATGTGATTTTTTTGAAGAAGATACCATTTTTGCTACTGGCAGACAAATTTGCATAATTGAATCCAATAATTTTCCTGTGTACATCTGATTTGTTTTTCATTCAAGACTCTCTATCGGCATTCTTACAGTGATAGTTTTGCAGTTGGCTGATGGAATTCTTATAGTTTGGCTGCTGTTAAACAATATATTATAGTTTTTTTTTTGGGCTGATTGCAACCTAAATAATCTATTCGCTAGCGGTTTTAGTTTGAAAATGAGGAATAGTTGAACAATGGAGAATAAAGAATGAGAAGAACTAGTTGTGTATGACTCTGTGCAATTGGTGTTGAATTGATTGCCTTTACATGTGAAAAGCAGAAGAAGTTTCATTGCGGAAGTGAACTAACACAGTTTGGATGCAAAAATGTTTTGGTTGATAATCTCATGCTACTTTTCTTGACTCACAAAGGGTTAAAATGTGCGTGAAGTTAGAATTATATTTTTGATATGGAAATATCATCATATTAATATTTAAAGGTTTTTTTAAAAAATAAAAATAAAAATAAAAAAAATTGCAAATTGGGAAGTGAGCAAATAATTTTTCTTTAATGGTAGGCTGTATCAGTGTTTATTTTGCGAACCTGTTCTTTTTAACTGTTAGCAATTTAGGATGCTGTTTGTTCATGTTCACTATCTTTTGAAAAAAATAAAAATAAAAAATTCAAGGTGTCTTCTTTTTTTCCATTGTGATATTTGCTGTGACATTGGTCTTATTTTAGTTTACTATTCTTGCCAACATTGTAGGTTTTTTCAGAAATTTGCTTCTCTCGTTATCACTTAAAGAGAATTGAATCTGGAACTGCTATTGGTGCAATTGGAGCTCAAAGTATTGGAGAGCCAGGGACACAGATGACTTTAAAAACTTTCCACTTTGCTGGAGTTGCAAGCATGAGTATCCTTTTTCAGTTGATACTATCCTTTTGGATACTTAGTGGTGTTCTATTTCCTGGTTCATTGGGATTTAATTCGTAGGTTTACAATGTGTGTGCCTTTGACTCCGTGTTAGATGTCACACTTGGAGTTCCTCGCATAAAAGAAATTATAAATGCGGCCAAAAAAATTAGTACACCAATCATTACAGCAACACTTGAATGTGATGATAATCTGAAAACAGCAAGAATGGTTAAGGGCCGTGTGGAGAAAACAGTTCTAGGCGAGGTACCTTGTTTTCTTTATTAGTTTTTCTATACCAATTCATAACTACAGCAAAAGTATTGGACTATTAGTTAGTTACACTTTTGTTTACTGATTTATTAGACGAAGTCATTGTTGTTGCGAGAATGTTTGACAGTTTGCTGCCTCTCCCTAACAGTTGGTTAAATAAGTGCATTTTCTATATTACCATATCCTTGTTACACAGGTTGCGAAAAGTGTAAGGATTGTAATAACATCAAGGTCAGCATCTATTGTTGTCACCCTTGACATGGAAAGCATTCAAGCTTCACAACTTTGCATAAATGCACAGATTGTAAAAGAAAAGATTTTGCAAAGTAAGATCAAACTGAAGGAACAGGTAAAGTACTTCCCAGGAGTTTTAAATTCGTGTAATATTTTTGTGTTCAATAACAACTTAAGTACATGCTTATGTGCAGCATATTAAGGTCTTGGATGCTAGGAAGCTGGAAATTATTCCACCTGGTGATAAAAGTAAGCTTCATTTTGAACTTCATTCACTCAAAAATAAGCTCCCAACAGTTGTTGTGAAGGTGAGAAATCTTTCTATATTTTCATTTTTGGAACTTTGAAAATGTTCATGTTATTAAAGACAATGTGGGAAAAAAAAAATGATTTTTAATCATTTGGACTGAACTTTGTTTCACATGGTTGTCTTTGGTTGACAGGGCACAAACACAGTTGAACGTGCAGTGATTAACAAAACTAAAAAGGACAATAAGGAGCAGTACAACTTGCTTGTAGAAGGGTTAGTTTTTCATAGCACTTGATTATTTTAGTAATGCTTGTAATCTTCAGAATTTCAATTTTTTTTTTTTTTCTCTTTTAGTTTCATTCCAGCTCATTGTGTATGTCACTGCCAAGTTTAGCCGATGTTTTTCATTAATGTTAGGTTGCATGCATGTTTTAGTTCTATTTTGCAGGTCAGATTGGGTCGGCTTTGTAATTGGCCACTATCCATACCAGCTTGATCGGGTTGGAAATTTCTTCATCCAATTCCGACTGCTATTGTTCGAAACTGCACTATTCGAAACTGATTTGGGCAATCAGATAAGAGAGTTGGGCAAAACTGATGACCTTACCCTTCTCTCTTCAAACCCTAATCTAGACATATATACATATATCTATACACATACAAATTTGAGAGAAATAAGGGAGAACAAGAAAACAAAGGGAAGAGAGAGATTGATTTATGTCTTTGTTCTCTCTAATCCATGTCTTCATTCTACTTTCTCAGTTGCAAATGAGCCACCACATATAGTGTTCACAAATTCCAAAGCCATAAATACTGAGGGGATGAGCCTACAAATACATGAATCAATAATCAATTCATGCATGTACTAGACATTAAGATGGTACAACAACCACTTAATGAACTTCCAAATTCATTCATAGTGTCATATTTTTTATGCTAGTATATGTGATTGTCATAGTGTCATATTTTTCATGTGAATTACTTCACAATCATGTTTATAATTATTGAAAATTTTCAAATTGCTTTTGGACCTTAATATATGTCATGCTTCTTTCAGAACAGGACTTCAAGCAGTTATGGGAACTGAAGGAATTGATGGATGTAAAACAACCAGTAATCATATTATGGAAGTGCGGCAGGTAATTGGAATTGAAGCTGCAAGAAAGTGTATAATCGAAGAGATAAAATACACCATGGCAAGTCATGGAATGACCATAGATATACGACATATGATGCTTTTGGCTGATCTAATGACATTTAAGGTGAGTTGTGCTTCTTTGAAAAGGTATCTTGTTTTATTTCTTGAAAATAATCGTCTAACATTAAAATATGGCCTGTAGTTTAAATGTGCATTTTGAGAATAATTGTAGATTAACTTCTTGATGATGATTATTGTATCAGGGTGAAGTTCTGGGAATCACAAGACATGGCATTCAGAAAATGAAAGATAGTGTATTGATGTTGGCTTCGTTTGAGAAGACAGCAGATCATCTTTTCAATGCTTCTGTGAATGGGAGGGATGACAAGATTGAAGGAGTAAGTGAATGCATCATTATGGGCATCCCAATGCAGATAGGCACTGGAATACTAAAAGTAAGACAAAGGTATGTATATACTGGAATTCTTAAAGTAAGACAAAGGTATATACAATATGAATCACACAATTGCAGAAATGCTAAATCTTTTTGTTGTTGTGTATGTTCCCCCATCTGTTGGACAAGTTTGCAGGCACTAAAACCCAAATCGTTAAATAAAGGGGCCTAAGTTTCCAACTTGAGCTCATGTACTTTGAGTTGAGAAACAAAATTGTGCAAGCATTTGGCTAGTTGGATTTGAGTTACAACCCCTTGCCTGATAGTTGGGCCCCAACAATTGTTGGTTACCTAGGAAGCATGGATACGGATACAGATACAGATACGAGATACGGATACGATACGATATTGATACAACGTTACAACAAAACTTAAAAAAATAAGATACGGGTACGGCTATGATACGTGTAAGAAATAATGTATAGAGAAAGAGAGAGAGAATAAATTGTATGTATTATTGATTGATTATTTAGATATGTTACAATTTTCTTCTATATATAGAAGAGTAGGTGGTAGTAGGTGGTAGGTGGAGTAGGTGAAGTGGAGGTGGTAGTGGTATAGTGGGTTAGGTTTAGTGGAGTAGGTGAAGTGGAGGTGATAGTGGTGTAGTGGGTTAGGTTTAGTGGAGTAGGTGAGGTGGTAGTGGTGTAGTGGGTGGATTTTAACAGCCCCCCGCAAACTCAAGGGGGATAGGAACTAACCAACTTGAGTTTGGAGAGAGTAACAAAACAAGAAAATACATAAAAATAAAAGAGGATAAGAGACACTGTATGGTCGTGTCAGACCATTGGTGAAAACACTGGATGGTGGTGTCATAACGTTGTAGAGGAACTGTATGGGGGTGTCATAACCATGTAGAGGACACTGTATGGTGGTGTCATAACGGTGTAGAGGACACTGGATGGCGTGGATAAATAGTTTCTTAATTTTGTTATGTCTTTATAGTGGTCATTGTGCCTGTTATCTCACTACCACCTTCCGGGTTTGTGATTTCTACTAGTTTGTTGTGGGTTTGGTAGTATTGTATCCATGACAGATTCCACCAGTGTGTCCCCTTCTTCTCAAACACCAAAGAGTGAGAGTCTCATTCTACCTACTACCATGACTGAGAACTCCAACCCTAGTCTGAAAATCACCACCTCTCTATTTAATGGTCAGAACTACCTAGCATGGTCTCAAAGTTTGACTTTATTTTTGAAAAGCCGAGGGAAGATGGGGTATGTTGATGGCAGGATACAGGCACCTAGTACCACTGACTCAGGTTATGACCAATGGGAGATTACTAACTCTTTGATTATGAGTTGGCTTATCCATTCGATGGTTCCAGAACTTGGTGAGGGCTACTTGTCTATGGAGACTGCCCAGGACATTTGGGAGGCTGTGGCTGTTACCTATTCCTGCAAAGGAAATTTTTCACAGGCATTTGAGTTGCGTCGCTCTATTGAAAGCACACTTCAGGGGGAGCAGACTGTTCTTCAGTACTTCACTTTCCTCACCAACGGCTGGAAACGCCTTGACCACCTGGAAGACTATAAGCCCGTTTGCCCTACTGATTCTGTCGGGTACAAGAAGTTCATCGCACGGGAACGGGTCTTTAAATTTTTGGCCGGCCTAAATATGGAGTATGATCCAGTTCGGGGTCGAGTTCTGAGTATGGACACTCTTCCTTCACTACAGGAGGCATTTTCCTATGTACAAAATGAGGAGAGTCGTCGGTCTGCTATGATGTCCCCTGTCTCTACTGACCGTTCCGCATTACTGTCTACTCCTCGAGATGGCCTCAGCTTGCCTCCTCCATCTGCTGCTAAGGAGTCTGTATTCTGTGATTATTGCAAGAAGCCGCGGCATACTCGTGAGACATGTTGGAAGCTTCATGGGACTCCATCTAGGAGTCGAGGTGATCGGTCTGGTTCGCGAGGAGGTCGGTCAGGCCACTCTCGAGGACGTGGTTCCTATTCCCGGGCTCATCAGTCTAGTGCCGTATTTTGTACCACAATGAAAGCCTTGCGGAGTGTAAGGTAGTCAGCACGAACCACTGAATTCCCAAATTGCCGGAAAAAACAGGTCTGCAATTTAACATAACTATCAAAATTCGGAATTAAAAGAGCAGGTTTAATGAAGCCATGTAATGATAAAAATAATGCTGTCACAGAAATATGATTCTTCCTAGTTTATGTATCAGAAAAATATTAAGATACACCACTAGGTGGTTGGATCAATGCAGTTAACAGATAAATGAGAGATTACCAAGACGGAATAGTTCTACAACCTCCTCACAAACACCTCATGTTTTAGTTTTATTACTGTGTATCAATGGAAGCGCACTTTAGTTAAAACACTCCTGTCTTTTTTTTCCTTTTTCCATCTTCAATTCATTGGGTTCTTGAAAATTGTTACACTCCCTCAAACCTCTATGCTTTAATGAAATCAGGTGTCAATTTAAACCAGTCACTAAGGAAATGTATTTAACTTGTTGCATTACTAAAAGAATAAAGATTGCTAAACTGAAACCAAAAAATGGAGACATTATATGACTTTAGGAATGCTTTCCTGCCAAAATACTGGAAGAAAGAAGTGTATGTGATGACATCTCCCAGTCATAGGCATAGCATAAAGATCCTAGCTGGATGTATACTAATGCCTATACGTATAATAGCTACAACCACTCCAAAGTAATCACGTTAAACATTCATGAAGAAGCAAAAAAATACTAAATGGTCAAAGCAGGCAGTGCATCTTAGGAGTCTAAATTGATCAGTGAGTCCTCATATTGCTGCATGTACGAACTTCCTTATACTATATTTTAACTTTCTAGAGTAATATGAACTTTCTAGAAAGCAAACAACCATCACATAAATTGTTGTGTGCTTTCAAGGATGTTGAGTGAACAACCTATTCAGACTTGTTAATTTAAGTAACACATAATTATTGCAATCAATAGAGTAATGAGTAGAATAAGTGATCAGTGATCATGATATAATATAAAAAAATTGAAACACCCATATTGCCTCTAAAATCCAGCAATTTGTATACAAAAATAACATTTGGACATATATTAACTTCTCACATGTGGAATCTCTAAAACAGGCTTCCTAAAGAAACTTGGCCAATCAGAGTGCACTACTTATTGCAAGAACTTATAGTATATAGATTGATGCATATATCTCTTGCTGCCACACCAATGTTATGAATGTGATCCTAAAGAGGAATTCAATTTCCAACAGAAAAAGGTTGCAATTTTCTGGGGCAAAATGAACCGAATGAGAAACTAAAAACCCAGAATCAATGCATCAAATTCTGAACCAAGATTATTTGTGATCAGTTAGTCGGCATGAATCAATCATAATACACCAAGCTTAAACAATTCATTAGAGCTGCAAAAATTTTCTTCATGCTCTGTTCTCAGTTGAATGAAAAGACCATATAACAGTTTTCTAATTTGTAAAAAATACATTGATAGAGAGAGAATAAATAGAGAGAGAATAAATTGTATGTATTATTGATTGATATTTAGATATGTTACAATGATTCCTATATATAGAAGAGTAGGTGGTAGTAGGTGGTAGGTGGAGTAGGTGAAGTGGAGGTGGTAGTGGTATAGTGGGTTAGGTTTAGTGGAGTAGGTGAAGTGGAGGTGATAGTGGTGTAGTGGGTTAGGTTTAGTGGAGTAGGTGAGGTGGTAGTGGTGTAGTGGGTGGATTTTAACAATACGTTTGGTGAAAAATGTGTTTTTAAAACCTTGGCCTAATAACCTTGAGGTTATGGGTTCAATCACGGGGCAACCACTTTGTGCACTATGCCCAAAGGTTATGTGTGTATCCAATCTTTCCCCTCTCAAACACACATTAATGTGTACTAATTGGATATTGTTTTTTTTTTTTTTAGTAGTGAGTTACACATAAGTTAAAGAATATTGAGAAACGACAATGTAATTTATAATGCAAAATACTAATCTTTAAGAATTAAGTATTAATAAGCTGTTACTCAAGCTTCATACAACGTTACAACAAAACTTAAAAAAAATAGGATACGGGTACGGCTATGATACGTTTGGTGAAAAATGTATTTTTAAAACCTTGGCCTAATAACCTTGAGGTTATGGGTTCAATCACGGGGCAACCACTTTGTGCACTATGCCCAAAGGTTAGGTGTGTATCCAATCTTTTCCCTCCCAAACACACATTAATTTTATTTTATTTTTTATTAGTGAGTTACACATAAATTAAAGAATGTTGAGAAACGATAATGTAATTTATAATGCAAAATACTAATCTTTAAGAATTAAGTATTAATTTAAGTTAGTAGCTTGTTTACCTTTCAAATTTTCAATAGGTCTTGCAAATATTTCATTTATGTTTATATTACAAGAATAGAACAATCAACAACTTGTCTCTGTGTTTTTCCCTTTAGTATAGGAGATATGCATGAAACAATTAGGATACATCAATTTGACAAATTCTATTATTTAACTCACTATGTTCTTCTTATCAAAGAACGAAGCAAAGTATTAGAAAAATATTCTTATATTTATCCTTGCAATTATATTATATTATAATACTATACAAGAAATGCTATAATTCTAATTTTGTAAAACAAGTAATATGTGACTTGGAGTATCAGATACTCGAAAACTAATGAAAAATTAATTAAGAAGCATGCGATACTTTTAATAAGTATCCAATGCGTATCCGCAAGTATCCAAGGAGTATCGGTATCCGATACGGATATGATACGGATACGTCACCCAATTTGAAGTATCTGTGCTTCATAGTTGGTTACTCTGTCTTATATCAGTTATCTTAAGTATGGATTGAAATGGCTATAGAATTTTGATGGCCACGTTAATGTTAAATCTTATATAAAGCCTTACTGTAAAACAATTTTTTTGGACGTCATATTCAAATGGGTGGCTTATGGGGGATGCCAAATGCTTTGAAGATCAAGCTTTTTGTTTCAAGAACCCAACATGAAGGGCTCTCGCAAGTTACGACAGTGGATTGCCAGAATTTTGTTAAATAATCCAAATTGTTTCAGAAGTTCATGTAATTTATCTGCCGGCTTTATGAAATTGTTCTTTTGGTAAGATGGTATGGGGCCAGGTACTCCCCTACTGCCCAAAAAAAAATCACTGCTCTTTCTACTGTTATCTCTTTTTTACTAAAATTCGTTCTATCCCTTTGGATTCCTTTTCTTTTGTTATGGGTTCTTCTAAGTACACACCATACTTTTCTATCTACACCCACATTTTTTTAAGGTACAAGTATTTCTTTGTAAGGTACAAAGATTACAATGCATGTAGTGAGTTAATGGGTGCATTTTAGAAGCTCCCTTTGTTCTACGGCCTACGCCAGATCTCTTTAACACAGGTTCTTGCACTCTGGGATTTGTTTTATGAACCTTCCCATCTAAAGGATGCATTGCCAATTGGGAATTTGGGCAAAGATCATTAAGTAGTCTGGTAGTGTGCTTTTAGATTTGCAGTAGATCTTGTAGCTGTGTTATGACAGAGCCTGAAGTTGTTGGGGATGCATTGGCTGTGTCTTGGGTTGGAGGTTTTGGGAATGTTTATGAAACAGATGCTGAAGCAACTCTGGGCACTCTAAAATGAAGACCGAGGTTCTTCCTAATCGATATTATTAGTTATTTTATAGCCAGATTGCAGACTAATCCACAGATTAAAAGAAATTGTACCTAATCTTCTGATTTGCTGGCTAACTGGTCCAGTCCTCAGCAGTGTGGCCTTGGGTCCTGGGCCCAAGTATCGGCTACTAGTATTAGCTATGTTTCTTCCCCCCCCCCCCCCCTCCTCTTCCAAGGTCATATACCCTGTTTTCCAGACTCCATACCCTCTCTTCTTGTTTTCCCCTCTTTCATGCACATGCAAGAAGCATGCATATAGGGTAGCAAAGAATCACAAAAACTTGATGCTGGCCGTTGTCTCCACAACATCTGCTGATCTGTTCAGGAACCCCATTCTATTTGGTTTACTTTGTTACCTGAACAGCAGCTTCATAAGCAGTCAACTATGGTAGCCATTTATAACTGTACTATATTTATAGATAGCAAGTAGTCAATTTCCACCATAGCAAGAGTTCAGCCCATACAAGTTCTGTTTATCACTCAATTTATACCAGTGTTTGGATGACTAGACTTAGTGGTACTTTCACAACTGAGGGGATGTTAGTACAAAATAGATGCAGCACAACAGAAACCAGGCATCTAGATGTGACTTGTTCATGACTTGTGTTTGGGGTAGAAAAACTTTAATATTATAGAGCACCAGATCAAGTTTCTTGAGCCTGATATTGTTTTTCATTTCTGCTTATTCACTGATGTGCCGTTCCTTTGACTAAATATTCTACACTCTGATGACTTTCTGGGAGCTGTATCTAATCGTATTTCCTTTCGGCAGAGTTGAGAATGCTCAGCAGCTGAGTTATGGATTAGATCCAATTATACAATGATGAGTGTGGCGTGACAAAGATTGCAAGATGTGAAGATTTGTAGTTCATACCAACAAATTCATTTTAACATGGCTATGTATCAGAATGTGCTGACACGATTATGGGTGTTTGGAGTGCTAAATCTTCCTTTACATGCAATAATGCCACTCTGTAAGTTTTTTCTGAGTTTGTTTAGGTTGAAAATGGTGGAAGTTACAAAAAAAGTTAATTTTCTTGTACGACTCATGATAGCATGATAACTAAACTCCCGAATTTTTTTTGCAAAAAACACGGGAAAATACAAGAAAGTTTAAATTTATTATGAAACGTAATTACTTATAAGTAGAATTTTTTTTTTTACATCACTGTGCATATCTGCAATCAACCCATCTTCACTGTAATTAACCTATTAGATGATTGTGTAAACGCTCATGGTGACAAGTTCTCAAGCTTACAGGGTCTCTCTGCTCTTCTCACTCCTTGTAATAGTAATGGATTAGCAAAAGTCCTGCATGTGTGCTAAGCTTTGGTCGTATTATTGTTATGGGTCATGCAACTATACATGCCTTTTTGGAGTATGTGTCATATGCAAGTAATAACATTGTGGTGTTGATTATTACAAATATCATAATTAAATTTTTTTGTTATATTACTTAAAAAAAGAAATGAAAAAAGGTAATAACCAAACACCACATACGGTAAGGTATAACCAAAGACTTTTTAGATTATAATTAAAATAATGATTATAACCAATATCGCAATGAGTTATAATCAAGTCATAATTAACATTACAATAGGTCATAACTAAATATCATAATTGTCACAAGTTGGGCATATGGTACACTCAACAAAAGGAGGTGTGTATTGTAGAATTTTCCTATTGTTATTATTATTTAAGCAATTTGATTTTTTCACTGATGATTTACGCTAATTTTCAAAAGTTGAATGGCATGAATTGTCATTATAGAACTCGTGGTGTGTCCATCAAGAGTGTCCATCAAGAGTAGATTGAACGGATAAATCTTTTTGAATGATTGTAGATTAAAAATACAGGTATATTTCTAGCGGTGAGTATGGTGAAATAGATATGAGCTAAAGAAACTTTGCCACAGGCTTGAACACCAACTAAACCACCCATATAGGGGCCTTTTCCCAAACTAAGCCTCTTTTGCCTCGTATTTTCCAAACTAGGCTTAGTTTTGACGGAATTCCTAAACTAAGCTAAAGTGCTATTACGAATCGCGCTTTAACTGTTTGGAGGCCAAAATTTGATGAATAGTTAAGGTGCTATTGTGAATCGCGAGTTTAATTAATAAAACGCTGTTTGGAATAGCGATTTTAGCCTCAATTATAAAATGCTATTCTGAATAGCGCTTCATTTGCTATCTTTCCGACCTCAATTATAAAACGCTATTCTGAATAGCGCTTCATTTTCTGATTGCTTTAATAAATAAAACGCTATTACAAATAGCGATTTCAATTCTGAATAAAACGCTATTACAAATAGCGATTTCAATTCTGAATAAAACGCTATTGAAAATAGCGATTTTAATTGTGAATAAAACGCTATTTAGAATAGCGTTTAAACTGTTTCAGTCCTTGTTTCGGTGATAATGTGATTTATAAAATTTTATTGGCTTTTAAAGCCATTGTCATGTTAAAATTTATTTTTTTTTCTTTTGTTTTGGTTTAGAAGATGTAATTCAGAAATTTTACATAATATGAGAAAAATCTCTTTTCATATATTTATTTTACATAATATTTTTCATATATATAATTTTAAAATCATATTGATGTAGATATTATTAAGCCAATCAAGTTCATTTACAAAAGTCATGGTTTCACTATTCACTATTGTAAGTATGGATTGAAACCACACTTTCACTGTTCATTTAAATTAGATTTAATTTTTTTTTGTAAATATTTTTTTTTCTGTTGTCATTGTTTCGGTGATAATGTAATTTATAAATTTTGTTTGGCTGTACTGAAGTCGTTCTCATATTAAATTTTTTATTTTTTCTTTTGTTTTTGTTTTGGTTTAGAAAATGTAATTCAAAAATTTTTTTGGTCTTTGCTAAAGCCGTTTTCATGTAAATTTTTGTTGTTTATTGTTTTGTGTTTGTTTTGGGTTAGAAGGTGATAATGTAATTAATAAATTTTTTTTTTTTTGCTTTTCTGAAGTCGTTTTTCATGTAAATTTTTTTTTTTTTCTTTTGTCTTTGTTTTGAGTTAGAAGGCGTTATTCAGAAATTTATTTTGGCTTTACGAAAGCAGTTTTCATTTAAATATACATATATATTAATCCTTTTGTCTTTGTTTTGGGTTAGAATGTGAGAATGTAATTCAGAAAACCAGTTTAGTAAAACCGTTTTGTATCCGTTTTCATTAAAAAAATTATTTTTTTGTTTCGTCTTTGTTATGGGTTAGAAGGTGATATGCATGCTCTATAGTTCGAAGCACACCCACACACTGTGCAGCTCGACGAGCAACGACGAAGGGTGAGACGCGAAGACCACCGCGGAGTAGGCCAAGAAGACGAAGGCCACAGCAAGAGCTCCTAAAATAAATTTTGTCAATATTTTTGTAATAAATCTTAATACATAATATACGAAGTCATTAATTTACTAAATACTCATACAAGCATGAAAACAACATAACTGAAGTTGCAAATGTAATAGTTTTCAGTTACATAGGTAGTACATACATAATTCTCCCACAAAAATACATTCTGGACACCATGAACTGAACACATATTACATATATCCTGGTCATCCTGAACTGAACACACAATATATAAACATAATAGTTAGACAAACAAACACATAATTCATGACCTAATATTGCATATTAATAGCCGCAACATTTGACAGACAAAATACATAAACATAAATATAAACATAAACATAATATAACAGTTATACTTACTCTAACACAAACATTACATATTAATGCATGACCTAATATTGCCGAAGTGTAGACATTAACACCTAATTCGCGCTTAAATCGGCAGGTGGCTCAGAGTCAGAATAATCCGAAAGCTCAGCATCAGAGACAAGTTCAGGATCCTCCATGATACCGTTGATAGCCGCAACATTTGGTTCTGTTCTGTTCTTCTGGGTATCGTTCTTAACTATGTATAGCTGCATATCGCGGGCTAACATATGGCCCATTTGAGAAATCTCACGTTGTAGTCTTTCACATAGTCGATCAACATTATCAGGATCTTCCTTTCGGATCTCAACAGAACGTGCTTTTGGCACATTCAGTCGATTTTCCCGACATAATCTTTCCATTTGCACTCGCTCTATAAATAGTGCAGGTCACTTCAGAAGTCTAGCGTTTGCTAAACCATATCCTGTTTGATTATCTGATGGATCCTCCACCAAACCACATGGATCTCGATAGTATTTAGGCATGACAAAATGTCGCTTCCCAAACCTATCATGATAAGCACAAGAGGCATCTAACAAAGGAAATGGTGTTTCATCTTCAGCATTGCCACTTCCCCTTCCCCCTCCTCGTCGTGAACTGTCACCCCTTTGCAAGTTCCTACCACCTCTGCGATTCCCACTCCCTCCCATGAACCATGTAGCCATGCTAATTTTTTAAAACAAATAAATGACAATTTCGTAAAGCGAAATGAGTTGTAAGGTTGTGTCTTCACCTTTAGCCGTTTATATAGTTGATTATGAACGGCTTTAGAAAGATGCCTCTGCATCACAATCCCACATATATGAACAAGGTATGAGTGTCACTAGACTGAAAAAACAGAGAAAAGCAAATACTGTGTACCAAGTGACGTGACTTTACAATCCATCTGCATATACTGACAAGTCTCTCCACGATTTGACTACTCAATGTTTTAAAAAATGAAGCTTATGTAGGCAATGTTGTGTTTCACTTAGCTATGCATCATTCGTTGTTACGACCTACTATTTCTATCAACGGGAAAAGTATGACTATTTGAATTTCTGTTGTCATTTGGAATTATTTTAAAATCAACTTTTGAATATTCGATTTGTAATATTTTGGGAAACATTTACAATCTCAACTTTTGAAATCAACTTTAAAAGAATGGTGAATCTTGTGAGTGAAACGTGGGTTACGTAGGAGTACTTGGCCAGCAATGTTTATGAATATCATGGCGCATTCAAATCTGTCCAAAAAAGTGGTGCATTCAAATCTGTCTGGAAAACTGGTGTGACACAGTAATGTTGGAAGTGTTGTTCTCTTTGGGTATAAATTCGAAAATTAACAAATCAGCGTCATTAGAACTGATAACAATTCTAGTTTCTATACTAAGAGAATCGTCAATTTCTTAAAAAATGTGCAGAAAACAATCTGTTTGGGTATAATTAATTCTAAATAGTGATTCATCCCAACCAAATCAAATAAAACCAATTGGGTTTTAAACTTAGTCCAATACATTAGGCATTAAGGTCCACTGCGGATCAGCTCAATAATCTTGATGCGGTATTGGATTGAATTTAGTTTCCCAAACCCTCATGTATACAGGAAGCCTATTTACTAGATCAACGCACTCGAATAGATTGTCACCGCATTCAGACATTACAGCGAGCATATGAGAACATGGATAGTGTCGTATCTCATATTTCCCACAACTGCATGTGGGTTGATTCATCCGCACAATTTGTGTATTGCGACCTCGTCCATGGCGAAAAGATGTTTGCACCTCAAACACGCGGCGTGGCCTATCAGAAAATTGTAATAGAAATTAATCAAGTTCATGTTTTTAGGTGTACTTAACTTGACAACAAAATAACAACAATTTAGTTTATATTACAAACTAACCTGTCATATGATATCAACCTGAAAGTATTTGCCCTTGCGATGCCATCCTCAATAGTTTTTTGCATATCTCTAGGGTATTGAAACTTATTTCGTACATCTATTTCAGCTTGGGCTCCCATCTCGTCAAAATATTTTACGAGCCGCCGAAATGTAAATTCAACCATAGCTGAGATAGGTAAGTTCCTTGCACCTTTCAAGACGCTATTGAAGCACTCTGCATCATTGCTAGTCAATACCCCCCAGCGATGTCCACCGTCATACGAAAGGGCCCACTCCTCAGGATTCATCTTGTAAACCCAATTGATGGCTTCTTGGTCAATAGCCTGTATTTGTTGTAAGTAACCATTTCACTTCCGTCGTTGATGAGCACTCCCTGCTTTCCATAGAAGTTGTTTGAGCTCCTTATTTTTGAACTTAGTGTTGAAGTTACTACAAATATGTCGAAGGTAGTGCCGATGATATCCAACAAATTGGAGCGAGGGATTCAGCCAATGTCGCCTCACAGCAGCTAAAATACTCTCAGCTCGATCAGATATCAAAGTCACTCCCTGTCGATCCATGACAATATGTTCCTTGATATTTGCAATGAAGAACGACCAAGACTCCAAACTCTCCCTGTCGACAACAGCGAATGCAA